AACTCTCCTCCTTCTTGCTCTCTACCCCCCTAAATATTTTTCCCTTTCGAGAACAGTATCATTGCTGGACAAAATCAGCTTGAGGATGGCTGCTGGGGGAAAGGCCTAGACACATCTGGGCAGGGTCAGGATCCCACATGGAGCAGCTGGTCAACCACTCCCCTACCACCCTCCTACTCAGGAGTGGGGGTGGGGCGGAGGGTAGTGGAGAGCCTTACCTCTTGGCTGACCTCCAGAGCCAACATGGACTCCTACTGAGCTCAAAGGAACTCTGGCATTCTATATGCATATTTATGTAAATATATCCTTGTTTCTGCTATCCTTCAAAGACTTAAATCTTGGAAAGAAAATCTGCCTGGAGCTGCATGTACTTTCAGAGTTGGAAAATATTTCATGCAGCAAGTCTGGAGAGTACTAAAATCAACTGTAAACTAATGGTTACAAAGTGACAGCCTCAGCTTTAAAAAATGACTTTACTGGAACTTGAAGTACTAACACTGCTGGGAGAGGTCAGTAGGGGATCATTGTACAGGAAGTGGGTAACTTTAAAGATTTGTTGATTTATTTTAAAGGCAGAGAGAGAGAGAAAGAGAGATGTATCTTCCATCTGCTGGTCCATTCTCCAAACGGCTGCAATAGTCAGGGCTGGTCCAGGCTGAAGCTAGGGACTAGGAACTCCATCCTGGTCTCCCACATGGTTGCAGCAGCCCAAATATCTGTGCCACCCTCAGCTGCCTTCTCAGGCACATTAGCAGGGAGCCGGATCAGGAGCAGAGGTTGGATTCACAGCAGTAGCTTAAACTGCTGGGCCACAATGTGGGCCCTAGGGCAGTGGATGTGTGAAGTTGCTCTGCACATCTTCCTTTCTAGTAACTGCAGGCAGCAGTGTGTGCTTTGCTAGATGCAGGGATGCTGAGGCTGACTACTGTTGCATCCCTTGCAAGTCATTTCTGAAATTGCTTCCTTGTTCAGAGTTTAGCAGGAGCTACAAGGAAATGGAGACAGCTCTGCCGCTTGGCTGACTATGATGGCATTTGAGAGAATGGAGTTGGGAAAGCCACGCAGGCAATGAAGGCCCTTCCCCAAGTCCAATTTTATGGGAAGATTGGGGTGTGTGGAGGGGATGTAGAACATCCTCCTTGCCACCCATAATGAGATAGAGTGAAAATAGATGGCCTCATCAGAAGACAGGAGAAGCGAAGTCAGAGCTGTGATCGCTGCTATGTTGCAACTTCTGGACAAAGTGAAGAACAAGACAGGTTCCTTGGTCCTTTGTAGCTGGAATAAAGGTTTGAACTGAGGCACAGTGTGGATTCTCATGGAAATTCCAAGGTCAGCATGGATCCCTGGCCTATACCACCCTCAGGATCCTTGAGGAGTTGCTGGGCCTCTGTTCTGTCTACACTGACCCCTCCTCACCAGGAGTTGGCTGGTGGGCCCCTTCTGCACTGGTCTGGCACTAACAGTGGAATTTTCCAGGCTGGCTGAGAGCTGATTCTGTCACTGGACAAGCGCCACAGCCCCCCAGTTTTCCAATAGTGGCTCAATGAGCTATACACAGCCAGTATCCGGCTGACCCATGAGAAAGGAACAGTTTGGCATAAAGAGCTGGGCCTGGTGCTTATTCTCTGCTGCCCTGTGAAGATTCTGGTGCAGGCGGGGAAAGGAAGGCTGGACCCACAGCACTGTGAGAGACCAGCCTAACCCACCAGCTGCTGCAGCACTTGCCTGGATTTCAGGCAGGGCTGGTCACAAGGTCCCTGCCCTACACAGTGCTAGCCAGCCAGAGGAGGACTTCTCCCTAATTTTCTTTAGTGAGCCTGCCCACAGAAGAGAAAAGCAGCACAAAACCGAGAAAGAAGACAGGTAATGCAGAGGCAGGATTCCTAGAGTGGCATCTGTGCTGAGATCAATCTCCACACTGGCAGGGCCGAGGAGTCAGGCTCTAGTGGCCCAGCAGAGGCAGGGAGTGGCACAATGATAGGAGCAGGGAGAAAAAAGCAGCAAGCAAGGACCCACCAGGGTCTGGAGCTGCTCCCTGATTCCAACGGGGTCAGCAGCACTGTGAAAAGGACAATATTTGCGTAATACAAATATCTGGTCAGTATTGGGCAGAGGCCTATTTTGTTGCCCCCATGTACAGGTACCAGGTGATCAGTGTCTTTAGCAGAGATATAGAAATAAAGTTTCTCCTGTATGAGAATTTTTAAATGTTGACAGCAGGTGCCCCTGCAGGCTTGGGTGCTGTGGGGGAGGCCTAGCACCTAGGAATTAACCGATGGGTGATGGGCGCAGGAGGCAGAACTGCAGATCATGTGAGGATAACAGTGCGGTGGTGTTTGCAGTCAGTGCCCGAGGAGGAGTTAGGGACTTGAGGCCTGGTGCTCGCCCGTGCACAGGAGCCGCCACTGAGCTAGATGGGAGACGGCCACGTGGCGGGGCAGATGTGGGTGAGCGCAGGGCTGCGGGACTGTGACTGGCCGACCCCATCGCGCCTCTTGTAGGAGCATCCCCATCTTCTTCTCAGGCACCCCAGGAAACCACATATGGAGATCCAAAGATGTCTCCCCACAGAAGGACTAAAAGACAAGTTCGGAAGGTGGCAGAGATGGAGAGAATTTCCTGAGGGACTGTGGGCAACAGAGACCTTGCTGAGGGTGGTGCCGCTCAGCCCGGGCACCGCAGGAGCCCAGGGGAAGGGAAGGGAACCGTGCAGGTGCGAGAGGCCTGGAAGGGTGCTGGAGAAGATGGAAAAGGCGAGGTGAAAAAGTCACATGCCTCAGAGACACCCCCCAGGAGTCCTGGGAACCCCCAGGAGATGAAGAGGCGAGGAAAACAGGTAGCTCCGGGGGCCACAGGAAACCCAGCTTCAGACTTGCAGAAACGCACGGGCCACTGGGACGGCACTGAACGCCGCCTAGGAAGGGAAGCCACAAGAAATGAAAATACGGCATGGTTTTCAAAACATTTTTGCATCAAAACAAAGATATTTTAGTTCAGTTTCTGGTGAACTGTTCGCAGGATGCCCGTTTCGTATTCTTGGATTTGATGCGCGTCAGCACGTAGTCCTCATTGTCAGAAACCTAGCTTTTGTATGGACATTAGTCTGTCTCTCTCTCTCTCTCTTTCTTGGGTTTGGAAAGAAACACTGTAGCCCTTTTAAAGGTTAGCCACTTAAATTCCATCTTATCTGGCCACTGAAGTTGCATTTAACCACTAAGGGTTTTCAAGTTTTGCAGACTTACCCGGGTCCTAGGATTTCTGGGCTGTCATGCTCATCAGTTTTCTGCCTTTACCCCATTATTATCAATTAGTTAAGTATTACTTAGTGTATTTTAGGTGACCACTAAACCTAATACTTAAGGATGGGGCTTCCTCTTTGACAGAACCAGGGAAGGAATTTCCAGACACATTATGTTGGCATACTGAAGAAATACATTATGTTAATGTCTGGAGAAACATCCTCCAAACTGAGTTTATGTGAAGTTAGTGAGTCTTTTTGTATTATCCCAAAATAAAATTCATGATTTATTTTTTCCCAGTGCCAACACAATTTGAACTAATCACTCAAGGTGGATACATTTTTAAAGCCAGGTCAGCAGCAGCCCTATGGGGAAATCAGATGAAATATTTCTATTTATTTTTTTTTAAGATTTGTTTATTTATTGCAAGTCAGAGTTACACATTGGCCGCAATGGCCAGAGCTGTGCCTATCTGAAGCCAGGAGCCAGAAGCTTCTTCTGGGTCTCCCACATGGGTGCAGGGGCTCAAGGACTTGGGCCATCTTCTGCTTTCCCAGGCCAAAGCAGAGAGCTGGATCAGAAGTGGAGCAGCCAGGATTAGAACTGCCGCCCATATGGGGTGTCGGCATTGCAGGTGGCGGCTTTACCTGCTATGCCACAGTGCTGGCCCCAAAATACTTTTAAATACACAGTTTTGTTTTTCTTGAAAGATTTATTTATTTGAAAGAGTTACAGAGAGAGCGAGAGAGAGGAAAGACAGACAGAGAGAAAAAGAGATATCTTCCATCCTCTGGTTCACTTCCCAGATGGCCACAACAGCTGGCGCTGGGCTGGTCTTGAAGCCAGGAGCTAGAAGCTTCTTTCAGGTCTCCCAAGTGGGTGCAGGGGCCCAAGGACTTGGGCCATCCTATGCTGCTTTCCCAGGACATTAGCAGGAAGCTGGATTGGAAGTGGGGCAGCTGGGACTCGAACCAGCACCCATATGGGATGCTGGTACTGCAGACAGTGGCTTAACCTGCTGTGCCACAGCACTGGCCCCTTACATAAACACTTTAAAAAATGATCTGTTATGGGGCCAGCATGGTGATGTAGCAGATAATCCCATGAGGGCATTGGTTTTTGTCCTGGCTGCTCTACTTCCAATCCAGCTCCCTGCTAAAGCCTGGGAAAGACAGTGGAAGATGGCCCAAGTACTTGGGATCCTGCCACCTATGTGGGAGACCTGGAAGAAGCTCCAGGCTTTGGCCTGGCCCAGCCCCAGTTGGTGGCCATCTGGGGAATGAACCTGTGGATGGAAGATCCCTCTCTTTGTTTCTCTCTTTCTCTCTCCTTCTGTCTCTGTGTAACTCTTTCAAACAAATAAATACACAACTCTTTAAAAAAAATGAACTGCTATCTTTTGGAACTAGAAGTAAGGTAGTTAATATTCATCCATAAACCATTATTACATGTATGAGGGTACTTCAAATAGTTCATGGAAATGGAATTAAAGTTTATTTTGGGGCAAAATTGTTGAAATTCATGAATAGTTTTTTCATAATATACATAATATAATTTTTGAAAAAGTACCTTTGTATATTATTATTGCTATTGTGATATTAGAGAGTCTTATTTATTTCTGTGCCAGCTTATATTGTGAACAACTTTTGACAGTTTGGATTTTACTGATCCTGTTATGCTTGTCCTTGGAATATCTTTCTCATATTTGAGGTTTTTTAGTTGAAAAGCTTACTACCAAAAAAAATTCAAACAAAAAAATACTGTTTTTACAGAATAAATTTATTGGAATGTGAAAAAAAATAAGTTAATTGACAAAAAAAGGTCCAAAGTGGCTGAGCGTCTTGCTAGGTCGTCAGCTTCATTTCAATGTGCAAACACAGGAAAAACGCTGAGGACAAAGGTGATCTCCTGCCCCCAGCGTGAAGCACTGGACAGGGACAATGCCTGTCTGTCAGAGGGGGGCTTGAACTCGGTCCCCCAAAGTCAGTACTTTCCAGTGTCAGAAATGGTTGTGAACTATAAGCATAATGCAGCAATCCACAGGCCTCAGGCAGCAGCCAAGAGAAGCCTGGGGCATTTGGCCACTTGGGGTCCAGTGTGTGGTGTGGGGGCTGGGGACAGACCCATCTTGCATCCTCCTAACTTGCATAATGGACTCCAGGGCCTGCCTGCCCCTCTGCTTCCCCTGTGGGGCTGGGGTGGGCATTGCCCTAACTGGCCATTGCTCCTCTCTCAGGTCTCCATTCGCTTTGATCTTGGTGGGCCTTCTTATTTACTTCTTTGGTGGTGCTACCAGGAGCATGAAGAAGACAAGTGCCCCTTCCACCCTGTAGAGGGCACTTGGTGGGGCCGCTGCAGCTTCACAAGGAAGCAGCATCCTTCTCTTACCGTATGCAGAAGGGCAGGCACTGGTGGCGTGTTCTCAGGGCCCGCGCGGCTTCCCCCAGTCCTGCATCCAACGCACAGGCTCCTTTCTCTCGTCTCCAGTGGGGAGTCCAGCTGAGCATCTCCCGAGGAGGCCTGGGAGCCTGTTGCCTGGTGTCTCCCCATCACACGGAACCTGACCCCATTTTCAGGAGGCACGTGGGCATGAGTGCAGGCTCCCACGAGCTGCCAGGCATTCCCAGACCAGGGATCCAGGAGGCTGGGAGAACGCAGCTCAGGCAGGCAGATGCCGACAGACCAAGGAGCGAGCTCCCGGGGCTCAGGACCAGTTGAGGCTGAAGCCCTTTGACAGCATGGCGGCCTCCAGGTCCTTGTCTTCCTCTTTCTCCCGGAGTCTCTGCTCCTCCAGCAGGGCCACCAGAGAGTCTCTCTGTTCCACCACATCCAGCATCTCATTCAAGATCTTCTTCTCCTCTGCCAACTCCTCCTCAGTCTTCAGGTGATCTGGGGTAAAGGCCGAAGACAGCGGGCATGAAGGGTATGAGGCAACAGCCCATGCCAGCCCTCCTGTGGGTGCCTCCCCTGGCTCCATGTACCTTCCACAGCCATTCGCTCCCGGAGCTCTTGCTGCAGGCGGCTCTGTCGGTCTTCCAGCTCCAGCTCCCGGGCACTAAGGTTGGGGGAAGGGGGAGGGAGACAAGCCACAGTGACTTTGGCACAAATTAGGATAGCTATGTGACAGCAAGGGAGCTGGTGTTGCCCCCTGGCTGCGACCCCCAACCTAAGGCTACTTACAAAATCATCAGCTCCGACTCATAGCGCACCATGGCGTTTTTCTCTTGCACCAACTTGAACCACTCTTGCATCAGCTTGGGGTCATCCTTCTTGCCCATGCCTGCCAAGAGATAGCGTGTGTCAGGCTGTGGGGAGTGGCTCTCGTCTACCCCAGCCCAAGGAACCATCACACTGGGGCAAATGTGCAAAGAGAGCCGAGCAAGATGCTGCCGGAACACTCCCAAGCCAGGCCCAAAGTTTGCCTACATCCGGGGGGGTAGGGGGGGCACGGAGAATGGCAGGCCCCTGCTCATGCCCTCCTCCAGGGTCTGATGGAGCCTATGCTTTCCACTTGTCTTTCCCCGCCTTGCCTTCTCCCCATCAGTAACCCTGGCCCATGACTATTCCTATTCATCTCTCCTGATCAGTGGTTATCTTTTGGACTTAAACTGCTTTGCCCTCTCCCCACTTTGTTCTTTCTTCATTAAATTAGTATTTACTCACTGCATGCTCCTTTGAGAAAACTGGTACCAAACAGGGCAAATGTAAACCTACCAACTGGACTTCACTCTCCTTTGAAGTTATGGTCATTTGGCCCAGTTCTTTCCTAGGCCCACCAATGTCAATGCCTCCTCATTTCTTTTATCCTGATCAGGAAGGTGTCTCTTCTTAGCTTGCAGCCTATCAGGCTTCCTGACACTCTTCTAATGAATGGTGCTTGCTATGTGCAGGACATCCCAGGACGATTTTAGGGTGTCTCGCCAAGGGCAAAGAAATACCAGCAGACGCCAGAGACTAGGAAAGGTGGCCACTCCTGGCTCTGATTTAAAGCCAACAGCAGATTCTGGTGCTGGTGCCTGCCTGTCAGACAGGCTACCCTGAACAGACCCACAACTGGTATCTCAGTCTCATCAGGGGTGGCCTCACCCACTGGGCCGAAGTGTAGCAGGAGGATGGAGGAGGAACTTCCCAAGGAATCAAACCACCCAAAGTGAGAACAAACTCCTTTTCTTTGGAGCACAAAGCTGATCATGACAAAGTGTGGTCCTACTTAAAGGATAGATGATGCTGATAACTTCTCAATAGTTTTTGATTACAAACTGTTCTGAGAATCTCATGAAATCTAAGGACTCTCTTCGTAGAGAAATGCTTATGTGTATACATCAAACAATTTACACAGAGTGCCGGGGTGTTCACAGGCTTCCTGAAGTCCAACCCTGGGCCTCAGGGTAAGAGGTGATGGACTGGGAAACCTTGCAAAGCTCCTTCATTCTGAGTCACTTGGCTGTTTCAGCCTGGTTAAGGCAATCCCAAGAATGTACAGAATACAAACTCAGGCAGAAGGCCTCCTGAGTGTTAAGTTCCTTACACACTGTTGCCTGCATTCTTGCCCTTGAGGGGAATTCTTATACATGGCTCAAAGACAAATCTCTTCCTGTGGTGGTGCATGCTTGACACACATGAGCCCAAAGCCAGTTAGTCTTTACCCAGTGGCCATACTCTAGAAAGTTGGAAATGTATCACGTTCACACAAGCAGGGCATTAGTGTCTGTATCGTGCCCCAAATGCACATGCAACTCTGCTCCCAAAGTGATGTCCTGTCCCTGAGCCCTACTCTGAAGGATGGAAGCTCCCTCCTGGCCTGCCCAGCCTGCTCCTGTAGAGGCCCGCCTGCATGTCTGGGGACCCAAGTTCTCCTCACCCAATCCAATAGACTTGGGTATTTGGCTTTTAAACCAGCCCACAGTTTAGTTCCATGCATTCCTTTCGGAGCGTCTCTGCACAGTGTGCCCCCATGGCCATGGAGGATGGAGCCCTGAGGCATGCAAGCTGTCCCGCGCAGCAGTCGTGAGCACACCGGGACGGCTTTTGCTCCTTCCCACCTCCCCGTGTGTGAAGACAAAAGGATTCCATTAGGAGACATCTGAACACCACTCATGAGCTATGGTGGAGCTCATTCACAGCCAATGGGAAAAGGGACGTGGTGGGGTGGGTGGAAGTCAAATATGAGAGCCATGGAGAGCGGAGTAAGAGGTTAGCAGGGGTTAGTCATGAACACACCCCCTTCCCCTGCCCACATGCCTTTCCAATGACAGTCTCATTACCACAACAGACTTCAAATCAGACAAACTTAAACAAAAACAAAAACAAAACACACTCAGCAAGACACGAGGTTGAGAAGTTTGTTTTTAGTGGTTGTTCTGGGAAAGAACTCGGGGCTGTTTGTGCAGACCAGTCTTTGTAAGGACAGTATTCCTTGACAACACCAAATACAAATCGTGCCACACAGGTGGGAGGTTCCTCACCCGCGATCCTGGCCCCTCTACCTGATGGATTTGAGGCTCAAAGACCCCAAGCATGAATAGTGGGGCAATATGGTGGAAAGATCCGCAGCAGCCTGGAGAGGCCCAGACCTGGAGGCTCCCTGGCTTCACTCTGAACCCCAGTCCTCCCTCACACAGTCAAAGGGATACTGTACCTTGTAAGAAACTGCCACATATTCATGACATTTTGTAACAGGTTCATCGAGTGTCAGAGAAAGAGAGGGGAATAGTTTGGTTTGGCTCTGTTTAACTAATACTGCTACGGACCCTCTGAGGCAGTGGGGATGAGGTTGGTGAAATTACGTTACCTTCCTGGACACAGCAAGGGCAGAAGGAGAGAGGTCTACGCCGTGGAGTCCCGCCACTGGGCTCAACTTCAAAAAGGACCAAACAAGGAAGAGGAGGAGGCGGCAATGGAGAAAGACAAAAGAGGAAGAGGAAAAAGAAGAGGAGGAGGTGGAGGAGGAGGAATTTGGAGAGGGACAGGAAAGGTAAAACAAACAAAACAAGTAGAGGACAAAAAAAGCAAAAAAATTGAGAAAGGAACAACAGGAGGAAAAGAAAAAAGATATACAAGAAATGGAGAAGCAGAAACAAGGGAAACAAAGTCTACAAATGAATTAAGTCCTTTTTTCAGCATGAAACTGAACAAGAGCAGACCCAGGCACGGGGCAGCAGGCACTGTTGTGGGCACATGGTTCACGGAGGAAGGTAAACTCCTCCAGAGGATGCTGCACCTGTTTCCTTCATGATGGCTGCAGCTCTCAGGCCAGGTGGGCTGCTCCCTCTTCATCTATTCACTTCTGCAGGGTGGTGATGTGGGAATACTGCCACACAGTGAATGGACTTTTAGGTCTTGGGCTCCCTCCTCAAAAATACCCGCAGCCCCAGGATAGGTCTGCCCTCCTCTGGGGAAGACTCTATTAAATACGTGGCCAACACTGCCTTTCGGTTTGCAGATGATAATCTAGGATTACCAACCAAACATATGTAAAATGTTCTAGGACACCAATGTAGATATATGTACTTGAGTTAAAAGTAACCTTGGATAGATTCAGGGGCAGGGAGGGGTTTGCTGCCATCAGAAAGAAGCTCTAGGTCAATGGAGGCAGATTATGAGCCCTGTGACAGGCACCCTGGGCTCTGACATTGACAATGCTTTGAATTCTGGGCCAGGACAATTTGGGGGAAACGGACAAACGCTGAGGGAACTTCTACCAATCCGTATCACTGTGGCCTGCCAAGTGCTGGGACAGCAAAACCCTTGCTTTCTTCTGGCCTTCCTATCCCTGTGGAGGGACCCAATGCCACAACTAGGGGAAGGCTGTCAACTTTGGCTGATATGGTATGCCAAAAACTCACAGTAACAATAATGGTAAGAGGGGAGGACGGGCCACTGAGAGCAGACAGTGTGCAAAGAGATATCGCAGGACCCCGGGGGAGACCTGCTGGCAATTCAAGGGAGAGGGAGAGAAGCTGAGCAAGGGACCATCACAGAACCATAGGAGCACACACAGGAGACAACAAAGCCCAGGGAAGGACAGAGCCTCTGGGACTGCAGTGGTAGGGATGAGCAGGTGGTTTAGGATGAGCACAGAGTCTAAGTCAACAACAGAAGGGCCAAATAGACAGACTATTGGTTGAGGGGCTGTTCTATTTTGCAACTGCATCAATATGCAGATATCAGTTTTCTCTCTGTGAAGTATTCTGTTTTGTGTATCATGAATGTGGTATTGGCTTCAAAACTAAAGCTGAAGACAGAGTGTGTGAAACGTTGATTATATCCAGTGTTCTAAATAGAGATGAACAGAGCAGCTGATGTGTTGGCACAGGGGAGAAAGGTTTCATCCTGAAAAAATTGGCTCTGCCTTATAGCTGCTCTACATGCGACCTCCTAGTTTTCAAAGTGTCCAAGCTGTGTTGAGGCTCAGAATCCTTGGATTAACCCTTTAAACTTCCGCAAATGATCTCTGACGCTTCCTGGGACTGCTATCTCACTTCAACAGGCTGTGGCGCACAGAACAGTGTCCACATTCATCAGCAAGGGACAGTGACACAACAGACACCCAACAGGCAGCTGAGCGACAGTGGGGACCTGAATGCATATGCTAACAAATGTGGGTCTGCTTTCCAGACACCATAAGATACAGCTTTAAGTCCTTTTCTGTAGAGTACACCCTCATATACCCTTTCTGATACAGACACAGTTTGAGATAACAGAGTATTCAGAAGAGAAATTAAGAAACAAAATTAGAAAGGGGGAGGAATCAGGTAAAGTGCTTAAAATGAAAAACCAAAGTAGTCTCAAACCGACAGTCAGGAGGCAGAATGAAAAGCCCCCCTCTGAAGGGAGCTGGGGGCTGATGCTGGCCACACTACCGCTTTCTTCTTCAGAGTTTCCCGTGTGCTTCAGTGAATATATACTACTTTTATAACCAGAAAACAATACCCAATGAACATAATTTTTAAGAAGTAATGGAAGGGAAAAACCAGTCAAACAAGGGGAGTTCCACCACACTACAATCTGAAATAAGCATGCAGGGAGGTCGAGGTGCTGATTTTGACAGAAATTTCTTTGCCTTTTATGGAGATGTGAGAAATAGATGGTTTGGTTCACTGGCTCTGAGAGCAAAGATGTTGTGCAGCATATGGAAAATCATTTGTTTTTTCTTTTTTCTTTTTCTTTTTTTTCTGCAAGGGTAATAGGTTTCTCTCTCTTTAACCCATTTCCGCATTTTCTGGACTTCGGGTCATCACTGCTGAGCCTCCCCAGAATTTGTTCGTGGTTGGAAGCATTTTACTAGCAGGTTCACACTCTCATCCTGAACCACTCTGCCTGCTTTCAGCTCTGGATGCTCTGGTCTACTCTCTACGTTAGTAATTGTTCCTTTTGAAAGGTGACCCCACTTGTGGTTTTAATAAACATGCAGGTACCACGCTGTCAATATTTCAAAGCCATCCACATTGCCCTGTACCAAGTGGAGGCAGGTGATGTGTGCCACTGAACTTTGAAAACAGCTGAGTATCATCATGGAGACAGGCATGTTTCATCATTTTCCGGTGTGGTGCATGAAACAAGTATGGACAGTATTTTCCAGCTTCAAAACACTCTCACATGCATTGTTCATTTGGTTCTTACAGGGCCTGGGGTGGCTATCTGGACAGGCACTTGCAGCCTCAGTTTTAAATAACGGATCTGAGGCTCAAAGTAGGTAAGTGGGACAGAGCCTCGACTGAAACCTGTATCTTCCTTTCCTACTTTGAACTAACAGCTTGCCCTCTTTTTCTTTTTTAAAGATTTATTTTATTTATTTGAAAGACAGAGTTACAGAGAGAGGTAGAGACACAGAGAGAGGTCTTGCATCCACTGGTTTACTCCCCAGATGGCCGCAACGGCCAGAGCTCCACCGATCTGAAGCCAGGAGCTTCCCCCGGGTCCCCCATGTGGGTGCAGGGGCCCAAGGACTTGGGCCATCCTCCACTGCCATCCCAGGCCACAGCAGAGAGCTAGATTGGAAGAGGAGCAGCTGGGACCAGAACCGGAGCCCATATGGGATGCTGGTACTTCAGGCCAGGGCCTTAACCCGCTGCGCCACAGCACCGACCCCATGAGCTTGCCCTCTTGACTGGGCCAATGTAGGCTGTGGCAAATCTAGGAAATGGTGGTTCTTTGAGGAAGCTCAAAACAGTCAAACACAGACCCACACACAGATCCTAATTAGTATGTCTTCCTTCCTTCCATTCTTTTGTGGAGGCCCAGGGAAGGTAAGGAACTTGGCTGGGGACAGTAAATGCAGGCCTAGAATCCAGGGCTCCACACAACCCACCTGGTCATCTTCTTCTAGGTCCTCCTGCTAGTGTGGCCCAGGACTCCATCTGTGGTAGAATAGCTGGCAGCATGGGAGACAGTCCCCCCTTCTCTAGGAAAGTACTTCAGAAAGTTTGTGGGAAATGGAATTAAAAGATAGATTTTTGGTGTGAAAAGTTTTTGAAATCCATGTCTAGTTTTTTTCTCAATACACATTTCCAGGAACTTTCTGAAGAGCCCTGGTGGTCTTCCTAAACTTCTATGCTCCCCAATTCCTCCTCATAAAGTCTTTGTCCAAGACACTTCACCCTAACTAACTGCATCCTCCCTTTCTACCCTACTGGCTAATGGAATGAACAGCATAGGAAGCCAGAAAATATAGGTAAGCAAACTCTCACGACACTGAACTTAGATGTTCACCTGAAATACACACCAAACCTATGAAAGTCCTTTTGTCACTCAAAATCCTAAGAGCCTGAGCTCTGAGGCTGAGAGACAGAGAAGGGTTAGTGTCTTCCTCACAGAGACCGGGGCTGTGATGAGGAAGCCCAGAGGGACCAGCACTCCATTCACAGCCCAGGGACTGCCAGGAACACCACGTGCTGAGGAACAGGTGGATGCTCTACATTTCCAATCCAGGCATTCAATTTTCAACATGAAAACAATTAGGAATACCCCCAGAAGGATTATGGGCTTTTTTAAAGGAAAACGTCAAAGACTAATCATTTATGCATGAAATGTCGACTGAGTACTTCTGATGTCCCAGGCACCATGCTAGCTGTGCATCAGCCCCAATTTTTTAAAGAGCCAAAGCAGGAAGGGATTTCTGGTTGAAGGCAAAACAGGAGGACAGCTGCAGCAGGAAAGCAACTTGTGGGGTCAGTCTCAAGGAAAGAGATGAGCAGGGAGCTGCTCTGGAGTTGAGTGGTAGCCCTGGGGATCTGTCTCATCTCACCATCTGGCACTGCCATGACCCAGGTCCCCAGGATGCCCCTTTCTTGGACAATGGAGCTATCATGACAGGCTTGAAGTGGTTGGGGTCTCTGTAGCCAATGCCTGGTAGATCATGGGAAAGTGGGGATGCTAGGGCCCCTTTTAGAACCCAGAAGTCCCTGTGTGGGATGCTTTATTTTTCCCAGGCAAACTTGGTCCTGGAGTATCACCAGCCTTATACAGAGACAGTATGAGGTGCTTCCTGAGGTGAGCTACTATTGATGTGAAAATACAGAATTCCAAATAATCACCTTGCAAACACTCTAGATACCATCCTTTTACAAGCTGGATATTGGCCCCACACATCTTCCTTTTGATATGCCTACCACAGCAAGTTTCACACACAAAAATCTGTACAGCAACCCAGAGTTAGATTACTTCTCTGTCAGTTATACTTTGGGAAAATCCTGCACATGCAAAAAGATTCTTTTTGGTTTTGACTTCCTTTTGGCCTCTGAACAACACCCTTTGAGGTATAAGTGACAGGAAACAGATACACTTCTTTCTCAGTTGCATTTCGAGGTTCATTTACACCACAGGATCTCTGGGCCAGCCCTGTGCAGTCCTCATCTT